CAGGGCACTTCCCAGAGAGCTCCTGGACAGAGACTCTCCTTGTGAAAAGAAAAACTAAGTTTCTGTCTGAGAGGAAAAAATAAAATGCCTACATTTCGGTTATTGAAGAATACTGCCATAATCTGATTTTCCTTGAAGCCATGTTGGTTCAAGCAGCACTTCATAAATTGTTCCCTAATCTGAATTTTTAGAAGGAATTATATTTAAGCCTTCCAACTTGGCTTAGCACTGTCTCTCTGGGCTGCCAGAATAATTTTCCTCGCTGAAAAAATAGCTAAGCTTCTGTTAAGCACTGCATCAGTAGGAGAGTAATTCTGCTGTCCAAAATGAACACTGGGGGATTAAAGTTCCTGTGTCGAAACTCTACTTGTTTTCTCACAAAGTCTGGTCCAGAGCTTTTATCAGTAACAGTTCCTCCACACACTATAATAAAGTTCCTTCTTCTTGCTCTCATTGGGAGCATACTTACTCTTTAGCTTTAGCATTCTTTTGTAAAATTAAGCTAACAAGAACACGTACAAGCAGAAGTTCTTTATCATAAAAAGCTCCTAGGGCCCAGAAATTGACTTTGTTCAAACTGCTCTCAGATGCAGCAGACAGACTTGCCTCAAACTCCCTAATCCACTGACAACCAGCCTCAGGAGAGGCCAAAACCAACATTACTGCCAGGAACCGCGTAGCACAACTCACACCAGTAGCTGTGCAGGGACTTCCAGAGGGGACTGTGAATCTGCCAGAGTTCTGCACGAGAGAAAGTTCTCCTGGGGGGAACCTCAGGCCAGTTTAAGTTATTTTTGTTCTGTTCAAAGTGGCAAAAAATGTGTTTGTTGAACCCCACACACCTCAAGACTTATTTCTGCACTTTTATTACACACGTGATGCGGTTCCAGAACTCTCGAGACCTGCTTCCTTTACAAAACACACTTTCATGCTCTTTTTTCAGATACAGATAACTCAATATTTAACTGTTGTAAGAACTTCTGAGAAAAATTTCTTTTTTCACCTGAACATATTTTAAAATAAGCTTTATTCGTATATTGTTTCAAAATTAAGCAATATTCTTTTTTACAACATTCATTTGACAAAGCTTAACTGGAATCAAAAAGAAAATAATTACACATACATCTTAATGTGAATTTACTTTATAGTGCTTTCAGAGACTAGGGCAAAGAATAAAGAATCCTTCTTAGATAACTAGGTGGAAAAAAAAGCAATAGATTTATACAGCGGCGCTTCACTTAATTCTACCTCAAATATTTACACCACTGTGGCTAAGTTGAAGTATAAAATGGAAAAGTGAGTCAAAAAGTAATAAACAGTCAAATAATTAAACAGTAGCAGTCTAAGGAATAAAAATTTACTGTAAAGCAAAAAATAAATATTTCTTCAACTTGAGGTTCGCCAGCTTCTTAATTTGGAGCCCATGTCCCCCAAGCATTTTCCTTTTTTCTTTCGGTCTCACCAGCCCCCATTCCTACTGCCACTGCACCATTAACATATCCTTCCCCCATAAATTGTGCCCTGTACACTCAAAACCACACTTCTCCCCTCAACGAAACTGGACAGCATTCACTGTAACTGTGTCTACCCTGTACACACACAACGGCTCCATCGGCAGGGCCAGACACCAGTGGGTAATCCTGGCACCAATTTGTTTTGTGGCTTTCAGCTGTTTAATAAAGAAGTGAGCAGTGATCAGCCTAAAAGCAGGTATTTAAAACAGAGACAGTCTCCTTATTAGTTACAGCTAGAAAGCTGTCTGTAGAATCCCTCGCAGAAAACAAACATGTCCTACTTCATACTCACTGAGTGGGATTCTTTCTCCCCCCAAAATTATGAAACACTGAAACACGCAGTCATTCAATACCTCCCCTGTAAACTTTGTTTTGTAAGCTGCAGGGGATAAAGCAAATTATACATTTGCCACTGCAGCAGTTACGCCTGAAGATCTCACCTGTTCCAGCTATAACTTGGCGCTTTCTAAAGCAGTCTTCAACCTCACAAAGAACAAAACACCTGGTTGGTAATGACTGTATAACTGGACTATTACATATATTACAATAATAATTTCCGTTACTGTTCAAACTAGACCCCTTGAAGGGCTGGAGTACTTTTACTAGAAAGTTAGTACAAGACTAAACAAGGGACCATTACATGAAACGGCACACCAACTGTGTATTCAGGATAGCGTTAGATGACTGCCAAAGGGAAGAACACAGAAATAAAATCACCAAAAATATTTACACTTGGGCTTCTCCTTGGCTTGGTAAGCAGCTTCTTGAAAATAGAGGATTACAAGCAATAGCTTTTGTAGTCCAACTTGTCTCTTACCCACTAACTGACTAAACAGATCTAGTTTTGAAATAGCAGTGATGTCTCTAACACAGCAGGAACTGCAAAGACATCTTTGTCTCATATCGGTATTGAAACCACTAGCATGAATCCTATTTCCAGTATGTCTCAAACTTAATTATCTTTCATATTTTTGCTCTTCTTTCTCCAGAATAACTGTAATTGTCCCACCTGTGCAGCGACCCATTTTATATCAGAATGTGACACACATAAGGTACAGGATGAGACCTCCCAAAGCTGATGTTGACTTTATCAGTTAACTCTCATCTTTGCACAACCTGTGCACTGGAATTCGTTCTGACTGGAGCCAAGGTTTCCTAACCGTGAGACAGCTGGCTCACTAGCTCTTGTGCAGCAACCTGCTTTTATTGCCGTTTTACTGGCTTTATCACATTCTTTTCTCTTCATTAATAGCACAGTTTCTCTTCATTAATAAGGTTAATGCTTAAATGATTCATTAATATCCATTAATAATTAATAAATTATTTCATCAGTTTAAAACTTTAAAAGAAATTGTTGTTGGTTTTTTTTTTTTTTATTTAAACAGTATTCATTCTGCTGTTGATAGAATTCAGCCTTCACTAAGTCACAGATTTCAGGAATCTGCTCTGCATCTGTTTTACAGGAGCTATCGCTAAATCAGAAGTTTTCTCATACTTTGAAAAAGCAACTGGTAGCATATCCATGTCTAATCTGAGAGGTACATACCCACTATTATAATGAAAACCTTACTAACACAGTTTTGCATTCTCATCAGTGCTGGTATCCTCAAGAGCTTGGCCACACTGCATCACCTGGTAGTCTTCACATTAACACTGAGATCCAGATGAAGACTTTTACTTCTCTGTTATGGTAGTACTAAAACCAGGAAGCATAAGGAAATGGACAACAAAATAAAAAAACATTAAGGGTCAAAGGTACTTTTCCTCCAAAGTACCCACGTTTCTAGCAAATTTACTTCTATAACCTTCAGCAAGAATGATCAGAAAAAGACAGCATTCAAAGCAAGCAAGCGCTACTGGAAAAGCAGATAAACTTGCTGGGGGAAACAAACAATAATGAAGAAAAGCACCTGGATACAGAAACATTGAAAAAGAAATGAAATTAATATAGCCTTGCCAAAGGGCTGAACACTGACTATTGGCAATTTTGCTCAATTGTTCAGAATTCTATCTAAAAGACATTTCAGATGCATTTACAGTAAATGAAACCTGATATGAAGAGCTAGATACTTGAAAAGGGAGAAGGCTAAGAGTAAAGATGTTTTATTTTGGGGAATTGAGAAAACAGCAAAATTATACCAGGTAGTATGTATAAACCAAAAATAAACCACAGGTTTGTAACTGTAATGTTAAATGCTTAAAGGATTCCTGTTTGTGACTGAAACAATATCCAGTTTGAGGCATAATACGAAAACAGAAAAAACCACTGGATTTTAATAAAGATTTTTCTCTAACAAGGATTTACTAAGTAGGTAACATTTAGAACACCCATGAAATTAAAAGGTTATGATAGATGAAGGATTAGACAGCCGAGGACAGTAGAGCAAAAGGATTACGAAATGCAATACCAGACAAAGCAGTTTTGTCTATTTTGCTGTCCAAGTGAGTGACAGCAACTCCACAGAGACTAAGTGACCTACTCTGCTGATCAACAGCATCCACAGGCTAAACAGCAGAGCCATTCAAAGGAACCTGTAGCTCTTCTGGCCTGAACGCATAATTCCACTTGAATTCATGCCCCTAGCCTCAAATTCCTTAAGTACTTACATTTACTTAGTACTTAAATTCC